CGAGGTACCTGACGGGGGGGGGGCGGGGGGGGGTAAGTTTTATGCCTGCCTCAGTGCCTCAGTTGTTAGACCATCGGAGGGGGGATCCTGAAGCGGATACCAGATACGGCGCGTGGGAGGGGAGCTTAGTTGCCGGCATCATGCAAGGCCATTCATGTAATGCAAGCGACCCTGCTGTGGTCGCTGCAGCACAGGGCAGGAAATAAGCACGCCAGGGTTGCGCCCACGAAATAGCTTTTGGGACCAAATCAACTTAGCGTGAAGAGAACCAACGTATATCGGATGATAGGTAAGTAAACGCCGCCGCTTTCGCCCCGCAACAATACGTCCGCCGAAACAGCCCTGGGCATATTCCCTTTGGTAACAGCCCAGGAAAGCAATTTCCAAAGACCAAACAAACGCTCAATGACGTCTGGGCCAGCGAGGGCGTAACCGAGCTCAGCAGATCTATCCATCTGGGGAAGGCCAGACATATACCACTATATACAATAAGGACCGTTCGTATACTGATGTGATTTTTCCCAATGGTCCCTATATTTCCAAAAAGTGTGGTATACTAATGTAGGCTCACTTTGTAACGACCGTGTTGTTCTTGATGGTCGCCAGCCGGAGCTCCCCGACATCGAGTACGGTCATGAGCTTAGCATCATCGTCGCCCTCGTCGTTGAGCTTGCTGAACACGAAGTCGTTGAAGAACGCGTAGTGCATCTGACGGTGTCGGATAGGAAACCGAAGGGCGGCAGACAGACCACGGGAGCACCGGTTGGGGGAGGGGGAATGCAGCACACGCGACTCACCCTGTTTTAGCTTTTGAGTGGAGCGTAGGTCACCGTGCGCGACTCACGCTGCTGTAGCTTTGAGTGGAGCGTAGGTCACTGTGCACGTCACGCTGCTGTGGCGTTGAGTGGAGCGTAGAGTAAGGATAGCGTGGAGCAGTGAGCGACACAACAGGCGGACACCCCACAGATAAAGACGTTTATACACAACATGTGCGAAGCGGCCATATCGCGTGTACTAGGCTCTCTGTAGGATTCGGGGTAAGACGAGCGATAAGACGCGTCTTCGAAGGCCGGGCCCACCTCCGAGGGAGCAACGCGCTCGCGCGATACCACCGCATGCGTCAGACCAACTGCTTTTTGCTTTTGATGCGACGAACATCGAACTCGCCTCGACAATACCATCATATTCGATTGTGCACAACACACAAGACACGAGGCCTTGGTCAACACATCCCCCCCCCCCTGCCCATGAAAGAAACCCCAACCTGCATATCGAACGGGGAAACGCCGGCATCCGCGAGGCGGCCGAACTGCATCTTCCCCGTTTGCTCGTAGACCACTACTTCGCCCTTTTTGGAACGGCCGTGCACGAAGTAAGGGTAGCACTGCTTGATGATGTCCAGGGTCGGCTGGGGGGTGGAAAGCGACCGCGCGGCTCCTGTGTCCGCTCGCCATCTTCGACAAGCAGCGGGGCAAACAAACGCACGAGCTGAGACAATAGAACAGGGATGTGTCCGCGGACTTGTACCTACTGTTGGAGATGGCTACCGCAAGTATCGCCACGCTTCTAGCCAGCTACCCAAGAAAGAAGTAGGACCCTTGCGAACGAGGTGCCGCTGACGAGCGTGTGAACCAAAGACAAACACACAGTTGACTGCCTCACTTGATGGTTTCGTCCCACATCGCCTTCGCGGCGACCGTGTTTCCCTTGCAGGCGGCCAGATATCTTGTGCCAAAATTCCGGAAAATAGGAGGAAATCAACGAAAACAAAGGGTGGTGATAAGGGATCACAAGCATGTTGGTGTGGCCACACGTCACAAGTCACCAGAAAACACGAGACTAGAATGCAACAAGATGGCGGACTCATGCAAGCTGAATTCGCTTCTTCTCATGGACGTGAGAGCGGTTCGACGTTCTCCCTAGCATTCAGGCTCTCTCCAATTGCCCATCCACCCCGTCGTGTTCAAAATACCAGCAGTTTCAGTGAATCTGATGCCAATCCTGCAGTTGCAAGCGCCCAGGATAATGGACGCAGGCGCGTGGCAAGAACGGCATGGGTCCCAACTGCTGACACGATAAAAGACTCCAGACCCAAAGCAACAAAATGTAAACACACCCAACCCACCCTTCCCACTCACACGCCCTCCCCTCATCTCACCTCGAAGACACGGGGCAATCAGCGCCAACCCCCGCCCCTGCCTCCACATCACTGCTCTCGCCCGGCGCAGGCACCGACAAAGGCGTCCCAGGAGCGTCAAGAGACCCAGCAGCCAGCAAGGGTTCCCCCTCCCCATCGTCCTGCCCCCCCCCAAACGCCTCTTTTCGCCCTGCGGAACCCCCCCTACCACGCCGGAGGCAGCGGCCGAAGACGCTCGGGGCCCCGGTTGTTCGGCCGCACCCGGCGACGGTTATACTTTCTATCGCGTCGTCGTTGCCGGTGCGCCGCCAGGCCACCACGGCGACGGACAGTACCAACGAACAGGCGGCAGCGCACGCCACGAACGCGGGCTTGTCGTCGAACCACGATGCCCCCTCCCCCCCGTCCTTCGGCGCCACGCCGGCCCCCCCCCTCCCTCCCCGGCCGTAGCACAGGCCGCCGATCAGGAGGCCGAGCACCAGACCCACGTGCCACCGGGAGTCCGCGCGCCTGAGGCCGGCGGCGACGGTGCTGGAAGAGTTGCTGCTCAGGTCCCCCCCCTTGGAGGAAATTTCCGAGAAGTGTCTCGATCCCGGGAAAGCGCTGCACCGCTCGCACGAGGAGGAGCGGGGGCAAGGCGCCCACAGGGACAGCGCACCGCTGCAGAGGGCTCCGGTGAGGATCCCACCTAGTGTTCGCGCCCAAAAGAACTGAAGATGGAGGGCAGGGGGGCGGCGGCCGGCGCAAGCAAACATTATTTCCACCAAGACGTGCTGCTGTCTACATAGCCTTTGGGTCATCACCGTCCGGTTCTCTTTCTTCCAGCAACTGTTAATAGACACAATCGTTCTCTTCGATCGGCTTGTGCACTCGCTGTATCTTACCCTCGTTTCCGTTACGCCGGCCAGCCCAAGCCACGCTTGGGTGATGGCCACGCCGATCACGCCGACCGCAACCACGACTCCCAGGCTGGCCCGAGAAGCCGCGGCCGGGCCGAGCACTCTGCCGGCGGTCCTGCCCGCCAGGAACCCCGCAAACGCCTGCCCGAGGTGGGACAAATGACGCGGACATCGTGCGAAGCATGGGAGAGAGTCGCTCTTGTCACGTCGGAATGAAGGCGACGGGACGAAGTAAAGAGTCGGACAAGCACGGAGCGCACATCCGTGCGTTCTTTTTCAGAATGGCTGCCGATGTTTCTCCCTCTTTGTCCAGTGCGGCGCACCCGATGTGCGCTCTCCCCGACCCGCGCGATACATCGCTGACCCCCTACGTTGATGTACGCTCAACAAGATCGCCCCTCCTTTGCGTGTTGCGCATGAAGGTCAAGGGTGCGTTATTGGCTACCTTCGCGGTGCAACGAGTTCAAAGTTGGCGGCTAAGTATGTATGCTACTGGTGCGCTGTCAACAGGATCCGCGTGCGCATCGCCATGCAGAGATAATAAGACAACGAGAGAGAGAGATGCTGGGGGGGGGGG